CCCCAAAACCCCAAAACCCCAAAACCCCTAAATTTCTAAACCCTAAAAATTAATAAGTTAATTTAAATATGAGATATAAGCATATTTTTGCTTACATAATAATCCTTTTCTTACTCTATGGATTAATCTGGTTCATTGCATCTTCAAGTTCAAACGAAGAGGGAAACATTTACCCAATGCAGTATATTCTAGAGCAAGATTTATTGTTTATTATGTTTTCTCTCCTTCCAATCTTGACTATTTTACCCACTAATGAAAGAAATATGGTTTTTATTGTGCATATTATTATGATCTTCTTACATTCAATGGTTGGTCTCTACATGTTAGTCTTCGACAGAGCTTCACTGGAGATGAAGTATTATATCGGTGTGCTAATTCTGACATGAGTAGGCTTCCTCTTTGTAACCTTACTGGGAATAACACTGTACGCTGGAGGTTTTGGAAATGATTTCTCAATGCTATTTGAAGGCAATGATGATACCATTATATTGGGTCATCAGATCCCAATACAACAACAGCAACATCATAATGCAATGGATAGTAACTTTGTTGATGCTTTTAACAAGATAAAGACTATTATATATGAACCCTACATGGTGTTGAAATAACAAGACTTGCCCTATCTGTCTCATTGAATATGAAGAAAAAGAGGTCATCAAGATAATGCCAGCATGTTACCATACCTTTCATATCTCATGAATAGAGAGCTGGTTTCGAAATAACTTAAGCTGCCCATTTTGTAGACAAGAGATCACTCGAGATGGAATTGATACCATGGATCATCACCGGCATAGCTCTATTATGAAGAAGGTACTTAGTTCTCTACCAGGAAGTATGAGGATTCAGACAAGCGATGAAGAAAAATGAAAAGAGAACTCAAAAGAAAACCCATCCAGAGTAAATAAATCCAATATTTTTTTAGAATCTAGAAACTATCAAGGAGCAACTTTCTAACTGAGCAAGCTTTGGTCAGCTGACAGGCTCTGGTACCAGCTCAAGAAAGTAAGTCTCTGAAGTTAGTTTTAGGATGCTACACACTCAATCACATATTTGAATGACCAATCAAACTGATATGGAAGCTATTGAGTATTTTGAAAATTTTAAATCATATAGAGAAGTAAAAGATTCTGTCGGATTCAATTCGTGATGACCAGATCGTAGGTTTACTTTTGAATATATTTATAGCCGAAATCTTTGCAGAAAACCTCAAGGATTCTTATGGAGGAAATCCTCAGAATGATGGCATCAGTTCCAAACGTATCCACATGTCCCTCAAGAATCAATTGAAAAATACAGAGTTGTAGGAATTTGGTCTTTCAATTTTTTATCTATTTTTAGGGGTTTTGGGGTTTTGGGGTTTTGGGGTTTTGGGGTTTTGGGG